AGCCAATTTCATATTATTAAAACATCCATAAAATACTTGCATATTATATTCTTCTAAATTATTATTATTATTATTATTATTATTATTATTATTATTATTATTATTATTATTATTATTATTATTATTATTATTATTATTATTATTATCAAAATGAAGTTGTAGAATGTGATAGACAATAATTGAGATTCTTACTAGTGTATTTGACACAAAGTCACATTCCTATTCCTATTAGAGTAATTTTTCATATTACATTAATTTTTAAAATTTATTTTTTAGTACATGAAGATTCAACAAAATAAACAAAAATAATAGCAATGGATGAACTTATCAACCCCAAGGTACTAATTTTAGTATGTATGGAGTAATAATATTTCAAAGAGGGTAATAAGAGAATAAATAACTAGTAAGGATTATAATATTATTTTTTGAAGTGTTCTGGGAGTTTGGGTATAATTTTCTGCATAATACAAAATAACAAAGTAATGATTGATAGATCGAGAATAAGATATATAGATCGTAAAATAATACACTAAAATACTATTTATATAAAAAAATTATATAGAATGTAATCGTCACTCAGATAGTATTTTTTTTGAAAATTTTCTGCGGTGCTTCATTAGAAAAATGCTGAAATAATGTCTGGTGGGTGAGTATCCCAGTACATAGTATCAGGTTGCTGATAAGCCGTAGTGGCTAAAGCATGAGCTAAATAATTGTCCGATCTAGAAATATAATTAAAAGAACATGAGTGAAAATAAACGGCAATTTGCCTGCAGCTATCAATGGCATAGCCAACGTAAGAGCGAAACGCAGTGGTTGATGATGTAAGGTAGCGTTGTAGTGTCAAACAATCCGTGTAGATCTCAATATTCTGTTCACCTCGATCCTTTAGCCATGATAAAACTTCCTTACACGCCAAAGCCTCAGCCATAAGTGGTGACGTACAGGCCGGTAGCAGCGCGGTTAGTGCCGAGATATAGGCTCCATCTCCATCTAATAAAACGGCCCCTACAATTGCATTCCCTGTCTCGTGTAGATATCCCGCATCGACCCTGCATCTTCTCACTGGCGGCACGGAGGATCCGGCGGCGTCGACAGCACCGCGGCCGGCGGTGGGACTCGCCTGGGCAGCGTGGCGGTTTTCTGTCGGCAGCGTAGCAGTGGCAGTGGCAGCCACGGCTGGGCGGGACTGAGTCCATGCGGTCTTGGCTGCCGCTGCGGCTCTGAGTAGGGACCCCGGGCGTGGTAAAAATGCCTCCCAAACTGCACCATTTCGAGCTTTCCAAATATTGTATAGAATTGATGCTGCATATAACATTCCATCAGAATCTAAAATATTTAGAAGTTCCCCAAACCAAACATGAAAAATATGCGTGACAATATTGGGGATTGTAAGGTTGGATTGATCCCAAATGTTTCTTGCAAAATCACACAAGACTAATGCATGCATTGTATTCTCATGTGATATCCCACACATAGCACAATATGGGTTCACCTCCACCCTCTTTAAAAGCAAGTTCGTAGTTGTAGGCAAAATATCACAAATAGCTCTCCAGAGGAACATTTTCCACTTTGGTGGAATTTTTAGTCTCCATAAAGCTAACCAATTAGTAAAGGGGCCTTGATTATTCTCATAATCTCCCACCAATCGTCTGTACCCGCTTTTCACAGAATATAATCCTCTCGGGTCCCCGTACCAATACCATGCATCATTATAATCCCGGGATACAGGTACTCTCATAATTCTCTCGACATCCGTAGGTTGAAATAAATCTGATAAAATTTCATTATCCCATGTACCAGTTTGTTGATCTATTAGCCCCACTACTCTGGCCTCTCGTAACTGTATAGGCATCTCTGTTTGTATCATAGGGTCCTGGTCATCCAGTAACCATGGATGGGTCCATATAGATGTAGTTTCCCCATTCCCAATTCTTCGTCTGACCCCACTACAAATTATGCTCTTTGATGCCATTATACTCCGCCAACAAAAACTGGGATTATTTCCTACCTGCGCATCAAAGAAAGTATCCCTGGGAAAATATCGGCTTTTGTAAACACGAGCTACTAAGGAATCAGGCTTAGTGAGCATTCGCCATGCCTGTTTCCCCAACATAGCTAGATTAAATGCACGTAGGTCCTTAAAACCCAATCCACCATACTTCTTAGGAACACATAGCTTGTCCCAAGCCTTCCAGTGAACTCGGTTGTCCGTCCCAGAACCCCACCAATATCTATTCATCGTTCTTTCTATAGCCGTGCATACTGATATAGGTAGCAAAAAAACACTCATTGAGAAGGTAGGCATAGATTGTGCCACACTTTTCAACAGTATTTCTTTCCCTGCCTGAGACAATAGCCTTTTATTTCACGACCCAATTCTTTGGCGTATTTTATCCTCAATATATGCAAAAGCTGCCTTTTTATTCCTACCCACAAACGAAGGTAGACCCAAATACTTGCCAAAGTTTGGTGCCTGCTCCACCCCCAAAACTTGGGCCACACTTTCCCTATCCACATTACTCGTATTCCTGCTATAACAAATACTCGACTTGTGGTAGTTAACCACCTGTCCCGATAGATTCTCATATACAGTCAGGCATTTCTTTATCTCATTAGCCTCTTCCACATTAGCCTTAAAGAATAAAAGGCTATCGTCCGCAAAAAACAAATGAGAAATCTGAGGGGCACCTCTTGCTACCCTACATCCATGAATTAATCCCGCTCTGTTAGCCTGTTGTAGTAACAACGAGAGTCCCTCTGCACAGATAATAAACAAATATGGGGATAGCGGGTCTCCCTGTCTCAAACCACGCGTGGATATTATTGGATCACTCCTTGAGCCATTTATCAGAATACTATAGGAGACTGTGGTCACACATTTCATAATCAAATCAACCCATCTATCATGGAAACTCAATGCCATCGTCACTCAGATAGTATGATTAACTTTAACATATTCAAAGTGGGATTTCTTGTGTTTCATGTAATGGTAATAATACAATGCGCTAACACATGCTTGATAATATTAACTTTGTCTGAATTATCCAAAAATAGGTCCATCTAAGTGTAAAAATATATTAAATATTTACAAATAATTAATTATTTAAATTGATCCAGATATAATTATCGCTATAGTAATAAAATCTCAATCAAATGACACCAAACGCCACTAACACTTCATCATTTAAGTCTTAACCCTTGCAACATCCAAAATCAATAAGAAAAATTCGTATAGTCTTATAATATGTGATATAGTATGATTTAATACAACTTAATTGAGATTAAAATAAATCATGTGTAAATATTTATCCCATTTCAACATTTATTATTATTACTTGTATTTTATATGCACGATGCGCAAAAAATATATGTCCACTATTAAATTAAATATTATAACCATAGTTATATTAATTTTTAAAAAATAATAGTGTGTGTGTGTATATATATATATATTACTATTATTGAGGTAAGAATTAAAGAAATACTAAATTACTAAATATGACTATGGTAATATTTTAATTAAAACTTAAATGAATTCAAACTTACCATTGAAGGATGTAAGAAAAAATATTGTGTATGCATGTACATGGTAATAATAATGTGGAAAGATAACAAAAGTTATAACAATAGGGATATTTTTGTTCAAAAATTTCTGTAGTACAACATTTATATCATAAGATACAAAAAATTTAACAGAAAAAAAGACATAAACCAGGGGTATAACCTGGATTGAAACTTATTATATTTTTAGATTATTGTTGTTGTTGAGAAAATAGTACTTTTATTATTCAATTATATATGTTGTTAGATGTAATTATGAACATATAATGTATTGTAATGGAGTCCGTAATACTCAAAATATATGTTGTTAGATTTCGTCAATTAATTGCAAAGTGATTTTTCTCATTCATGAGATCTATTAAGGTTGGATTAAAATAATCATTTCGCATTTGATTATGAGACTAGAAGTGATAATGGTATATAATTAAGAAACAAGAAAAAAATTTAATTCTCTATAATTTAGAGATAAACATGTAATTTTGTCAAGTTCATTTTTATGTTAGGTTGCGAGAAATGACTTATATGTTCTCCTTTCTTTTGTAATGTTCTTTTGGATGATCTGAATTAAATAAGGGTGTGTTTGGAAACCTGGAAAATGAATTCTGGAAATTATTTTTCAAGTTTCCATTGTTTGGATGTGCCTAGAAAATCAAGTCAACAGAAATCATTTTCCGTTGACTTTGGAAAATAGGCTTGTTTTGGAGGAAAATGACTTCCCCCTTTTTTTTGGGGAAGTCATTTTTCAACTTTTACACCAGCATCACACACCACCAACATCATCAACATCATACCACCGTAATCACTACCACCACCACCATACCACTGCAACCACCGTAGCCGCCACCACCACCACCACTGCCACCCCACCGTCATACCACCACCAGTTATTATTATTATTATTATTATTATTATTATTATTATTATTATTATTATTATTATTATTATTATTATTATTATATAACAAATAACACCACTACCACTACACTACCACCACCACCATAATATTTTTGATATATTATTAGTTATTTTTTATTATATTTAAAATTATTATTATATTATTATATATTATTATACATGTTGTAATATTCTAAATAAAATAATTAAAATGTTTAATTATACAATTCTACTCATTTTCCAGAAAATGAACCAAACACACAAAAACAGTTTTCCAGAATGCAACCAAACACTGGAAAGGAAAATGTTTTCCAGAAAATGACTCATTTTCCAGAAAATATTTTCCAGAAGTCATTTTCTTGCTTTCCAAACGGACCCTAAATGTGGTTGTTTGTTTTTGAGAAAAAAGAATATAAAATGGGAAAATCACTTTATATCAAGGGCAAAACCGTCAATTACAAAAGCATATTATTCCCCCCAAAAAACAAATAATAAAATCGGACAGATTATTATTAAAAAGCATATTTGTAGCCTGCAGAAGTGGGGCTTGAAGGGGAGTGAAACGGCTTCCTTGTAATCATCACCGGCAAACGTTGTTGTAAACACACAACACCTCTCTCTCTCTCTCTCTCTCTCTGCTGTCATTTTTCTTTTCTCTTCATTCTTTGCGAACTTTTCTCTTTTCATTTCTTTACCGTTTTCCCCTTCTTCTTTTTTTTTATTTTTTTGATATATATTTTGGTTCTGGGCCGTGTTTAAATTTGAAGGCTAGGAATTTCATCCTCGTTGAAGCTTGATTTCTTCCTCTCTCTATCTCTCTCCCTCTCTCTCCCACGCGAACACTGGTTTCTATGAGTCTTGGGTGCCTTTTCTTGAAGTGGGCTGTCTCCATTTTCGCCGATTGATTTGTGCATTTGATTACAAGTGAGATCCCTTGTAATTCTTTCCTCCTTCTGCTTTGATCTGTGAAATCAACCCAGGGTTGCAAAAGTATCTATACATTACGTATAGAGAGAGAGGGGGAGAGAGAAAGATGTGGAGTGTGGCGAAGTTTTGGGAGAAAGTTTACACGATGGCAGAAGGGGGATCTCGTTACTGCTCCAAGAAGAAGGATGATGTCTGTTATGAGGTAAAGTTTTGATTTTTTTTTTTTAATTTTAAATTAAGGATTTTGTGATGTCTGTTTCTTGAACCAAAAACTCAAAAAGCATATAACTTTTGTTTGGTTTTGTTTATTTGTTTGAATTTAGTATAGCATTTGTTGGGCAATGAGCAGAGAATTGATACTTTTGTTGTTTGATATCTGCTTTGTTGGTTTCTTGGTTGGTGAACTTTTGAGTTTTGACAGCAAATGAAGCAGTAAAAGGTGGAAATTATAATTCTGGATTTGAATTTCTAGGTTCCCTGTTCAAAATATAATTATTGTTTTTTTGTGTGGTGAAAGGAGCAATTCTTGCCTGATTAAAAGAATCCACTTTTGGTAGCTCTGTTGTTTTCCAGTTGAAGGCAAAAAACCATCTTTCTTTATTTAATTTGTTCTCAGAACCTAAGGGGGGAATTAATTGCTGAATTAGTTATCTTTACATCTGAGTAGTATAAGTCCAAAGGTTGGCTCTTTATATTGTCCCTTTTAAGTGTAGCTTTTCAGCCAATACCACTTTCCAGTTTAGCTTCATAATGAAGTCTTGTATTGATATATGCCTACCATCAATAATTGCTATCCACATCTTCCCAGTCTGTATGGATGCGTGGTTTAGAAAGGGCATAAAGTGTTTCGCTAATTAGATTTGTTCAGTCCTCTTTATATAAGATTTTATTGGCATATTTGTTAATCGAGGTCTCCATATGCTTATGCTGAATTCATAGTCTTTGTGTTTGGGTTTGGGTTGAGATTTAACGCTTTTTTTGTTATTATGTGCAGGACTCTAATCGAGCGTTAAGCATGTCGAGATTAAAATGTATTCTGAGAGGGCTGGACTTTAAAGTGTATGTCTTTCTTTTTGTTCTGGTACCGACTTGTGTGTTTGGTATCTATGTTCATGGGCAGAAAATCACTTACTTTCTGCGACCTTTATGGGAAAAGCCACCGAAGCCCTTTCATGAGATCCCTCACTATTATCACGAGAATGTGTCGATGGAGAATCTTTGTAAACTTCATGGCTGGAAGATTCGGGAGTACCCGAGGCGTGTCTATGATGCGGTGTTGTTCAGTAACGAGGTGGAGATTCTTACGATAAGATGGAAGGAGTTGCACCCGTATGTGACGGAGTTTGTTTTGCTCGAATCAAATTCGACCTTCACGGGATTGCCAAAGCCCCTGCATTTTGCGATCAATAGGAAGAATTTTGAGTTCGTTGAATCACGGTTGACTTATGGGCAAGCTCCGGGGAGATTCCGAAGGGGAGAGAATCCGTTCATCGAGGAGGCTTATCAGCGATTGGCGTTGGACTATCTTCTCAAACAAGCGGGGATTCAGGATGACGACTTGTTGATAATGTCGGATATTGACGAGATTCCGAGTAGACACACGATAAATCTCTTGAGGTGGTGCGAGGACATCCCGCCAGTTCTACATCTTAGGTTGAAGAACTACCTCTATTCATTCGAGTTCCTCGTCGATAATAATAGCTGGAGAGCTTCGGTCCATCGATATAAATCCGGGAAAACGCGGTACGCACATTACCGACAATCGGACGACATCTTGGCGGATGCGGGATGGCATTGCAGCTTTTGCTTCCGCCACATTAGCGAGTTCATATTCAAGATGAAAGCATACAGCCACTTCGACCGAGTGAGATTTTCTCATTTCTTGAACCCGAAAAGAGTCCAAAGAGTAATATGCAAAGGGGCCGATTTATTCGATATGCTACCCGAGGAGTACACGTTCAAGGAAATCATCGGGAAGATGGGACCCATTCCCCACTCCTACTCGGCTGTTCATCTTCCCGCCTATCTTCTGGAGAACGCCGACAAGTATAAATTTCTCTTGCCCGGGAACTGTTTGAGAGAGAGTGGCTGATCCGAGTGAGTGGACTATAATTTCTATATTTTTTTTCTTTCTAAAAAGATCGCTAGGTGCCCCTGCTTGCTGGTCCTCGTAAAACTTCTCGATGCCATGATGACTGTGAGTCACTGTTATATGATTCTTTAGAAACGAGTCTGAAATTAAAGATGTTCGGAATGAATTAAGAATATGTGTATATAACTCAGAGCATTGACATGATCAAGCAAGTTAGGGGAGTTTACCATGGCCGAACAGCTTTAGGTTCACGGATATATAGCTTTTGCATATTATTACTGTATCTCATCACTAGTCTTAGCGACTCAATATTCTTCTGTGCCAAGAATACTGGTTAGTTTCTCTAGCTTGCGGCTTGGGCTTTCCTCATGTGACGAAATTTTGGTCGTTACTAATGTATTTCTGTTATTTTCTCGTTTAGCATCATCTTTGGGTTGCAGCTCTCATCATCTCTTATGACATTACTTTTCTTGATCTTATTATTGGGTAGTAAAATTTCATCTTTTTCTTGTGAATCCCTTTTACTCTTTATTTAGTGGTTTATGGTCCATGAATTTGATTTTTGAAACTTGTTGAGTTGTCATGGATGTCACCAACTTTGAGCAAATGTTGAAGATTGAGTGATTAGATGTTGTATTGTCAATGTTTGGAGGGTGAATGATAAGTATTCTCAATTATTGTATGGTGTTTGTTTGAGTTATCTGGCTGGCAATGTCTTCTTTGCTAGCTATATTGTTTGAGCAAGTTGCAGGATGCAGCACATTCTATATCCTCAAATATTCCTTCACCCAATCATTACTTAATTAATTAATTAATTTATTTATTTTTGGGTTGACAAGGAAACTGTAGCAATGCCCAAAGCCGTGTTGCAAAAATCTCACCTAGGCATCGGTTAATCGGCGTCTAGGCGCTAGGCGCTGACCGGCAGCCTAACGTATCACCATAATTGGTGGTCTAGGCGCGATTGGCCAGTTATGCGGCCGCCTAGCAGCCTAGGCCTCTTAGGTGTCAACTAGGCCTCCTAAGCGCTGACTAGGTCTCCAAGGCGCCGACTAGGTCGCCTAGGCACCGACTAGGTTGCCTAGTAAGCCGATTAGCTATTGTTTTTTTTTAATTTTTAATTTTTAATTTTTTTATTTGTTTATTTCACTCAAAACGACATCGTTTCGAGTGAAATAATCCTAAATTGTTCAAACTCTAGATTTTTTTAGATTAATATTTAATATTTTAGTACTAACTATTAAAGTATTAAATAGTTTATAATTATCAAGTCTTAAAAAATTAAAAAATTTTAAACAATTTTTTTAAAAATAAAAATACAAAAATACTCAGGCGGCTAGGTACCGATTAATCGTCGCCTAGGTGCCCTCGAGCGTCCGATGAGCGCCTAGTGATTTTTTTAGCCATGGTCTCGAGTGTCTACATTGGAAAATTCATATTTTTGAGTAATATATAGCTCACAAATCATACAACAAAAAAATAAATCGCATTAAAAACATCTTGTGCGATGAATTCAATTGTGATTGTCGACAAGAATTGAAATCGTAATATTCTAATATGAAAATCATGTTTCACACCCTCAATTATCGCCTTTCAGAACATCATTACTTGATTTTCTCCTTCATGGTTGGTTATGTTAAAAATAAACTTAACAAAAAAAAAAAACATTTGTTGGTTGTGTTCAAAAATAAACTTTAAAAAAATAACACTTGAGATATTTAATAATTGAATACAAAACTTGTGTATATACTTTAGATCATCAAATCTTTAATCATTAAACAACAAACCTCTACTTTTCCAGTTTTGGATGAGTCCCCAAAACTTAAACCATTCTTTTTATCCGTTCTCAAAATATCTAAGGGATATATAAAATCATGACTTTTTAAAAATAATAAATTTTAATATATTTAAACGACTTTCATAAAATCTTTTAAAACATTTGTAAATTTTGTAGAAGTTCATAAAAATCTTATATCTTTTTATATCACAAATATTTATAAATTTTTGTAATTTTTTTTATTTTAAAAAGTCTAAAAAATCATTAAAATTTTAAATTTAATAATAATAATTTTAGGCTACAAATTAAAACGTAACATTCCTTGATTGGTTGGCACTACTCCATTAGTGTTTATTATGCTAGAGATCAAGATAAAGGCATAAATCTATGTGTGTGTTTCATCATGATTATTATGAGGACTGAATGTACTGAGAGAAAATGCTTGAATCCTTGGCCACTTGGGTTACCTACTTACCTAAGAATGAATTCTATATCTATGGATAAAAAGTTTAGATCCTTTTAGATTTCATTTCTACTAGTAGTATTTATACGTGAAGAGAGCATTTTTTTTTAAGACCAATAAAGACAGTATATTATAGTCGTGATGAGTAACACTATTTGGACGGGAATTTAAGAGAGTTGTAATAGATTGTCTAAGTATTGACGGACAATGATAGATGTTTGACTTGTCCTCTAACAAACTCATTCGGGAGATGGATTCTGAATGAGTTATCATAGTTGAACATGTATATTTTAGAATTTAGATTATGATTATCATGAGGATAAAATCTAGTGAGAGAAAATGTTTCAAACCTCCATCTCTCATGGTGACCTAGGAGGCTAGGAATGAATTTAAAGTTTGAATCATTTTACGTCTTTTTACATTATATTTATATGTGAAGTGAACATCTATTGAGTTATATTCTAATGAATACAATATAAACTTGTGTCCTAGCTCCAATTGTGCATAAGAATCTCAATACGGGCCCGCCTACGAAACCCGTATACCAAATTTCTTTGGCCCTAACCTGTCCCATGCAGGTTGGTGAGCCTCACGGGTTAGCCGCAAAGTAGCTTAAAACTAAAAAAAATTAAAAATTAAAAGAAAAAAGAGGCTTATATTACATAGTACATTTTAATATATAAATAGGAAAAAACATATAACTTTTAATTTATATATACTATGATTTGATGGATAATGATGTTTTAGTCTGATCTTTTCAAACAATTCATAATTTTAGTTTGATCGATCTTTTCTTCTTTGTAGATATTATATGTCACAAACTATGAACCAAAAATACCCTAAATCGTGAGTTTTTCATATGATACCTAAAGACCAAAAACATCACTTCCAAGCTAAGTCTAAGACCAAACGCGGAGACGCCAAGATTGAGTCCATATACAATATTCGATCCATATATATGGAGCGATGAAAATGAAGCAAAATAAAGCCTAAACTCTATTATATTACTCTAACCAGGAAGAAAGTCCAAAATAGAACCATCGATCTGCCAGCAAAAAACCCACGTGCCACACAATCGAATATATGTATCTTTTGACATTCAAAAACATTACGTGAAAATCTACGAACAAAAAGCCTAATAAGCTAACCCTTCATTCTGCGCAGTCGTTAGGCCAATTCAACGCATTGCGTCGTCAAAAGTTAACCAGAATCAGATTCCATCTTATCGTTAATTCCGGTAGATAGAATCTAAGACAACTAGCTAACGACCCCTTCTCTACACGTATATATATTCAGTTCAGGAACCCACATTACATACAAACATCTCAAACTATATATATACATACCTGAACCTAGAAAAAAAGGGAAAAAGATGAAGCACAAAACCTCATCAGACATGAACAAGAATCACCACCACCGCTATCAGTATCCGAATGATTTTGAGCTTACTGTGACGGAGAGGAAGGCAATACACAAGCTCATAGATGTTCCTCCATATCCCAGCATTCGTTTCACGCCTCGCGGTTTCGAGGCCTTTAGATCCAAAGATGAGGATGATGAAGAAGAACATGATGGTACGAGGATGATGAAGAAGTATCCTTTGCCACATCCTAGTCGTGGCGAAGAGGATGTGGATTCTGAAGCCGAGCAGTTCATTCGAAAGGAGCACAGCAAGTTTGAACGTGCGAAATCCAGTTTTATAAAGTACTAAAGCTGCTAGCAGGTTAAGAGCACAGCTACGTGTGCTAAGATAATAAGCATGCATGTTATTAGTTCATGCATTGTATGAATAATATTTGATTTTTGCATTATATGTATATGTTGATTGATAATCTTGCTAGCTTGTAAGATCACTCGGTGTGGTGTGTACTGTTGTTATTTAATGAAATTACATATTCTACTAACTTTACAAGTTCAGCTCATCTCTGCAGAAGCAGCCTATTGTCTTTTTTTTTTGGTTTAAACCAGTCTGGTTTACCTCGTAGTGTTTTGTTATTGTTGGGCAGAGGCAGTAAAGGGCCAAATCCAGTAATTGGTGGCTAGAGAATTGTTGGACGGAGACAGGTGAAGGGCCAAGTCCAACACCTACCTCTCGAAAATGTGGCGGCGATATATAACTAAATAAAGTTGTGTTTCCGTTTTGAAGTCACTTTTGACAGCTAGTTAGGGTTACACACTTACAATGCATGATTTTTTCAGTACAGACCTTTGAATAATGATTGTGTATAGACCTCGACTCCTATATATATTAATGTGATCAAATCACATGTATCTACAAACTCGTTTCTAATCAACTTTCAAACTTTCTCGTTCTAAGACTATTTTAATCCTCTCTCCCTTATCTTCTTCCCTATATCATATATTTATATGCAATCTTGAATAACATCATGTAGGCAATGGATGGTTTAAGAGGAAACAAGAATCTTCCCGAGGCTTCGTTCCTAGGTAATGGACAAGAATGAAGATTATTGAAATATCTATATATGGTCGGGACCAGACATTATTATAAATGAATCGAACAGCACATACACCGTACCAAATCCTTTCTTTCATATTTCACGTGTTGTACACAAATTGATTAAGATGAACTCCAAGTCATTTTCTCAATATTTATCTACAAGTAAATTTGTATACTGATTGGTTAGAGTTGGCTATGTTGATCCTATGTTATCCACTTTGCTAGTTCTAAATTTCTTGTCAGTTTTTTTTTTTTTTTTTTTTTTTGGACAATGAAAGAAATTCCTTATCATTATCTAAATGTGCATTGAAACAATCTTGGTTATAAGTGTAATAATCTATAAATCACACATAAGCAACTGGATTAAAAAAAAATATTGTATGTGAATAATCAAAGTAAAGATTTAATTTTTGAGATTTATTGTGGTTGTAATTAATAGTTATATTACACCTATCTTATAATGTTGGTACAAGCGATAACCATCTATTGAGTTGTTACTTGTCCCTTTTTGGTACATTTGGTCATTTTAACAAGTTTGCAACTTTTATATTATTTAATTTTATTATCATTATACAACTAAATAGCACTTTCTACCTATAAAATTTCAAATATCTAAATTTTATTCTAAAACTTAAAATTTATTAACATTTAATTTTTAAAACAAAACATCGTACTTAAAAAAATAATGGTAATATATACAAGAATTGAACTCTTAAAATTATTATACCTTCTATCTCCTAATTATGTTGGCCAGCTAGACCTTGTTTTTCCATATTAAATTCTGAATTGGATCGGAATCTATTTAATTTGCATATTGAAATGGATGCATGGAAGAAATATGCCTTTCTTGGTAAATTTAAGAAATTTTAAGCGTTGATTGGTATGAGTATGTTCATATCAAATATTACTATTTATAGTATGACTAATTGCATAAGATATTAGTGTATTTGTTAATTGTTATGTTTCTAATAACATAGAAATTATAGTCCATATAAATCAATACTTGTTTACAAAATTAAACATTCGAAATAGAGAGTAACTTCAATCAAATCGACCGGAGTGTATTGACTTGATAATTAAAATGTTACAAGTTTGATTTTCGGTAAAAGTAACATATATTGTAAATTTTTGTCGCCACTCAAAACAAGCTAGATAGAGAAAAATTGCTATATAAAGTAGATTTAAATTAAATCTTGTTACTCGTGACACGAATAGAGGTTAATGGTAACTAATACTCCTGTCACACGACATGTAAATTTGGTTGATATGATACATGCAGTCTGTTTGAGCAAAGCACAACTACTACATATTATACAGCTAACCTATCATATCCTAGGATGTTTCCGGTTCTCTATCCGACAAGATTGCGACGAAACCGGGAAGAAAGAAAAACCCTAATTAATCTAATCCTTCACAACATTGAACGACAGAGAGGGCAGGTGGTGTGGTGGTTGTCGAACCACTTGTCCAAACACCGAGTGTGGAAGAAATGCTTGCAAGAAAGCTCGCTCACCTTCTCCTTCGCTTCAAATCTACACAAGCACACGCAGCAGCACTCCACCGCAGAGCCGCCGCCGCCGCCACCGCCGCCGCTGCTAGTCTCCGCGCGGTTTCTGCACAGGGAATCGTAGTTGGTGATCGACACTCTCCGCGGCCTGGCGCCGCCGAGACCCGCCGCCGGGAGATCTTCGTCTTCTTGGGAGCCGGCGGCGGAGTAAAAACCGGCGGCACCCACCACTTGCAGAATCGACCTGACGGTGTTCTTGATCCCCGCCACGGATGTGACGGTGTTCATCACCAGCACCGGCAGGACTCCTTCGGCGGGGCCCGGGAAATTGGATAACCCCATTCTTGAACTATATATCTGGGATATGATACTACTATAATTATAATCCCCCCTTCTGGTCTCGAAGGGTTATAACTTATAAATATGGGGACGGGATAGTTCTAACCAGGAATGGGGTTAACCTGGGGTTTAGGATGCTAACCATTCCGGGTTAAAGTGGACGCGTGGAGACACGTGTAAGGTTTGTGTAAGTTGATATTGATTGATTTAAGGTACAGTTAAATTAGAGGGTTGGAACTTGCATGGTTTTGAAGGAAAAGGAGGCACGTGTCCTTTCTGCTTTAGGGAAGCCAGTAGCATACTGACTCATGGCAGGGATCATGGCCCTTCAGTTTCAGGGCAACACAAACGAAGATTCTTGATCCCATATCTCATCTCAATATCCGTTTGTCGGGATACACTTCAGTTGGTTCATCACGTGCATTTTTAGTGTTTTGTGTGTTTAATGTATAATATAATCACTTTAACATTTAAAATAAGGTTGATAATCTACTTTGTTAGTGTTTTATATATTAGTGTGTTATAAATATTATTATTATTATGTGGATATTATTATATACCGGTCCTAGTTATATTTTCATTTATGTTTTTTGTTACTATTTGTATTTATATATATCCTATGTATTATATACTTGATGAGCTTGATGAAATAAAAGTACACACTTTTGCCTTTACATTTTACTATTCATTCTTTCTTTGTATTGTTTCCATTAAAGAATATGATCTTTTTTTTCGAGGATGGCTACGAATTAAAGGTTATAATTACAACAGTGTGCAAGTATTTTGAAAAATCTAGAATAATGTATATTAGTTGAATTTAGGCGTTTTGTATTGATCAAACGTCGTTATTTCGATCGCCCTCTCGTCTTCTTCCGATTGTTACCAGTCATTTATGATATCCTTACCGACCAGTTCCCGTTGCATTACTAGTCTTGCCGTTGTAAGTATGACGATCAATTCGGCAATTGGTACCTAGCCTGCCAGATCAAACTCGTCGTTTGAAAGCTCAATCCTTACGAGTCTTAACTAGAGTTAGCTAACACTTGGCATGACTGTGCTGACAGGTGAGTGCATGTTCACCACGTGTGCATCATGCCAAGTTACCAGCATGTGTCCCCTTTTACTCCTATAAAAGGCGCATTAAATGCACTTGCAAAGGGGATGAACATTTCATATTTTCACACAAGCTTATCACGGCATCATGTTAAACCGTAGCGCCCCTCGACTACCTTGTAGGCGACAAGTTAAAAAATACAATGTGCAGTTGGACCCACATTATGTGTATTATGTTAAAAGTTTGTGTTTTATGTTAAAAAGTTTATGGGTATTATGTTAGATTATGTGTATTCTACTATACAATTATATAAATACAAAACATGAAATTTTTAGGGCGCATAATGCATTGTGCATCTGGTGCACGATATAACAATCGCTATGGGAGATCGACGCACTGGGTTTGAAAAGTGACTTGTGAGAAATGCAAAATGTTTCCTCTTCTCTCTCTTCTCTATTCTTATTAGGTGATACCTTTTTTAAAATAATTTTTAAAAAAAATGAGTCGGGTTTACGGGTTTGAACGCCGAGTTGGCATCCATGCATGGCGTCAGGCAATGCTGGATCGGAGCTCGTCTCGCCTGAAAATGGCAAGACGAAGCCTCCAGGTGTCCTATCTACATCGACAAGACGCTTAGGTGAAGCCGTGATAAGCATGTTTTCACATATACTAATAAGAGGATTCCGACCCAAGTATAAGCCATTAGACTGATACCAATCGAACTATCCATATTTTGCTACATCACTAGTGTACGAAGTATTTTGGAAAACCTGGGATAGTGTATTCCGGATTTGCGTAAACATGTAACAGTACAGTTGAATATTAATCATTCAAGAAAAAGAGAGATTTTTTGATTCCAGGAATGTATTGTATTCTGCAGCTGATATGTATAGGAATACAGAAGTAGGCATATCCTATACTGGTTTATACGCTACTTTCTAAAGAGGTTTGAGATTGGAAGGGAGAATCCCTGCCTATTGACTTATAGTACGCTTCATCTGCATCTGCAAACCTATACTCAAACATTGCCCACTCTAGAAAACCCCTTTTGTGAATCTGCAAGTGCGGGCGTCGAAAGAATCTATCATAACGCACATGAGTCAAATCAACGCTAAAAGGTTAAGAGAAATGTTAACTAACTAACCTCGCTTCTCTGTGATGATATGGAATCATTACTTGCCTGGAGAGGCACTCCATTCTTTGGTGTTTCCTACAGAAAGGATAATAGCAAAGTTAAACAATCTGGTGAATATTAATGCAAAGATATGATTATTGATAATCCAATTACATTTATCTCATCATCCTTGAGTGTAGGTATCCTTTTATGAACAACTGGCTGAGCATCGACCACTCCAATCTTCTCGTGTGCAGGCTGCAGAGGAGGACGAGTTTGTTAGGATCAAACGCTTACTGTTGAGCATATAACCATTAATGTGCAATCCAACTATCAGCTTAGACTTTTAGTTGAGATGGAGTACATGCTTCAATTTGGTATCAGAACCAGACTAAAGGTCATGAGCTATAGTACGTAGCATTTCCTTATATACAGCCGCATTTTCAAGAGGCAGGGTGCTGGATTTGGCCCTTCCTTCACCAGCCTCCGCCCAGCACGAGTGTTATTCGTGTGCCGGAGAAAGTACAGAATGACTAAAAGGGAAGAAACTAACCTCAACACATCTCTGAAATTTTAAATCCAAACCCCAACCATGAACCAGATCATTCTGCAGAAACCAAAATGGTCATTAAGTCAGAAACAGCAGAAGTTTTGCAAGTGATCGATAGATTCTGTTGTTTCGTGTTTCGGGTTCTAAGTTCACCTGAACCATACGCCACGCGCAGCGCCATGCATCCCGGGAGAAGACAGGAACCATGACCTCCACAAATCTGTAATCACAACACAGCCATTAAAGATTGCCCTCCATATATATATATCAGTTAACACCAGTAAAAGTAAATCACAGTGTTATTCATACGCTGCACACGGTGGCAAATGAGGGTCAGGACACGAGCCAGGCTTCTCTATTACTACTTCCCTGGTGCAAGAAGAGATAAAAATGAGCCCGGGAACAGCTAAACGATTTGTTTGACGTATTCAAATGTTCTTACTTGTGAACTTCGCGATCACTTTGTCTCTTTGTCAATTCCCATGATATCCAAGACCCCTTCACTTCCAGAGCTGGCTGCGAAATTTCCAATCCATGTTTCTTCACGAGCTTAATATATCTGAATTGGATGGACAAACAAAAGCAAGCCATCTTAAACACTGGTTATTCGAAATGGTCACAGGTTAATTAAGAATCTGATAATCAAATATATACTTACTCCTCTGCATTAAAATTCTCGACTCCCAGGTCTTCATCCCAGATAAATATATATTCATATGCAGCAACAATGTCGGGATGCAGAAACCTTTTCGCATACCACCTTACACAAATTTGCAGATTTGGTTTTTTGTGGCGGTTTAGTAATTGCAGCAATAAATTAAATACTCTCACTTGTTCTGTAACTTCTTACCATTTTGTCTGTTTAGCAACACTGACATGGATAGCCCGCTTGGACCACTCGAACTCATCCCATTCAGTCGTTCGACCATCATAGTGAAACAGAAGAATTGTAAAATTGTCCGAAAACTGAAAGGGAGAAAGATAAACTGTCAGAGAGATCAAATACCGGGAGAAGCAAGGATGTGGAGTTGCAGAGAAACGAATAAAAGACGCCACCTTTTTGACAGCAGCATCAATGTTGTCTTTCAGGTTATAACCAACCGTGAATGTTACCAAATACTTGGGTCGACTAGTTAGGTCCTGCAGAATAAAAACCAGACAAGATTCCAAAATCTAATTAAGATCAAGAATCCACTAAAGCAGAACAAATAACCTGTTGATGATGATTCAAGAATCCACTAAACCAGAACTGAGAAATCGATATTATGAAGCCAAGAAGCACTGCAATGCAGAGAGTGAATAAAAGCTTTGGTGAAATACATGCCTCATTGGGATCACCCCATAATCGACGGAGAAAGAAGTCTGACTCAGAAACAACGATTTCTGGGGGTAATCTTTCTGCCCCTCTGGGGTTCGATGAATCCCAAATCTGATCAAGGGCAGCACAAGAATACGAATTAAAGTTTGTTCCTTTTACAGAAAATTTCTTCAAACTAGCAAGAACAGATGAACCTTTGGAGGATCCATGACATTCTGATTTGCTGTAAGGTCGTTATTCTCATTGGTGGAATCCACATCAAGACTTCCAGTAATATAAAGCTGCAAAGTTGGATATGAGAACCAGTATGGCAGTAATTCATCTCAGCACAGAATCTCGGTTAACGGGACAGGTGAAACATGTTCTTACCTTGGTTAATGACAGCCCAGGAGATAAAGCTCCAATCAGGAAGCCAAAAATGATTCCAACAATCATACCAAGTAAAGTTCCCTTTGACTCCTTTAGTCGTTTAACATTTGAACTATGAAACAAACATGAACAAGATGAGACTACTGACTCAAACACTGCAACGGCAATCTAATTTAAGGATGTCAGAATCATGACAAAACCTGCTCATAATAATGTAGCTCTGGCCTGATCTCCTCATTGTATATGATTCTGCAGTACAAAAACAAAAAACAAAAAAAACACCTATAAAAGCCACTCTGCATCACCGTTTCAAGCAGTATTCTTGTACCAAGAGACAAGAACCTATGACACAAAGGAGAACCCAAATTTTCCACCATAACAATTGCTTGATCAGGCACATTTCTACCACAACTGCAAATACTTGCTTGCCCACAAAAAATGATGAACAAAGTTCATATCTTTATCTCCATTTATTACCACTTTTCTGATATTCATCCCATCATTGGGCAGGTTAAATGTTAATTCATCACTAGAGCAAGCCAACACACACTTCACCTTTTTTTGACCCATTTAATATAATTCTATTAACTTTTTCAACTCGTTTTAAGAAATATTAATTGTACTTCCAAAAGTATATATCCCCACAAAATACGAAATTCTCCCAGACCCCAAAAGGGTAAATCACAGTGATTCAGAGATCCATTAATTGGAAAGACCAGATACCCACAAATTAAAAGTCCTTCACATTGGGTCCAATGTAGGGGTGACAGAGCTCAATCACGTATTCTTACTGGCAAAAGAACCAACTCAGTTGGCTGTGTGGGCCCGGTAGATAACCTAAATTGTTAAAATCAATGATCAATCAACACTCAAGAGAATAAAATGGAAGTTCATATATTTAACCTGCCCAAAAACATTAACCAGCAGACATCAAGCATTGATAGACAGGTTGAATACAAGAGACAGCATGCAGCAGGATGATTAAAAACTAAAAAGTTGTGGCGAAGGGCCGCCGCGAAGAATCAATGAGTACGAGGAAAAGGAATTTAACGTGGGAAAACAAACGTGGGTTCAGGAGCATAAAGTGATCTGATGCATATATATCAGCGAATGTGTAAGGTGCAGATGTACGTATATGTGTATGTATATACCTGCAAGAAGAAAGAGGAACTGAAAGAATCAGAGTTGAAGCAAAAAAACTTGTTTCGACTGTGGAGAGAAACACGGAGATGGAGAAGCGGGAACAGCAGCAGCAGAAGAAGAAAATGGTTTTACGCAAGTAAATTTAAGAAGAAAATAGGTTTTTTCATAATTAAAAAAAAATCCCATTTTTTGTAATTTAATTTTGGAAAATATTGTTTTCGAATTTAATTCAATACCTTTTTTTTTTTTTTTAAATGCATTCACTATCCTATTTTAAGAAAATAAGGAAAATATTATGCTACAATGTAGTTAGTATTTGTTCATAGTTACTTTTAATTTATTTTGGAACACAAATTCCTGGGACTCAAACTCATAACCTATAATGTGAGAGAGTCATTCCATATCACTGGACCATACATTGGCATATAAAAAGCTACCAATAATTTGTCTTCGAATAGTTTTTTTTTTTTTTTTTTTTTTGGGGAGAATAATTTTTTTTTTTACTTAGTGCCATTAAATGAGAAATAATACCAATGAAATATAATCAGAATTGTTTTAGTAATCTCATGATTAAGAAGATTGAGGACAATAATTAAATGCGGGCTCAAATAAATATGACGTAAAAATATTTATTTTAAAAGAATCTCTTTTAAAAAGTTAGAATATATATCCCTTTCTATATATTTTAACAAACGATACCCGATATTTTTACTAATATAAGATTAATTATTGATAGCGCTTTATATGCCAATGTTGGTTGATTCAATGAATGGTTAAAGGTTTTGCGAATTTTGATTATATTAACAATTAATTTGGTTTGAAAATTCAGAAATGACTGAATGTTTATATACTATGTAGTATATACATACTCAAATGATTTAGTCCAACCCATTTACCATTTTACCCATGTTCTATCCATCCAAAATCCAATTTGAGACCTTGAACCAAACTAACTGAAATAGATTGATTTAATGTTGGACCAATATTGTTGTTGGACGGAAAGGTTGTTGAGTTTTTTCCTTTATAGGTTTGAACACAAATTTATGTTAATTTTTTTAATTAACTGAAATAAAATTTAGAGTTAATTACTTAAATAGTCCCTTAACTATAACAAAATTATTAATTTGATTTTTGACTAATGTTTTTGACTAAGTAAGTCCCTTAACTTTAAAAATATGAAAAATTATTTATCAAAATGAACCCTTGACCAGTGTTGCAAAAATCCCGCCTAGGCTAGGCGCTAGGCGCCCCTAGGCTGTGGCGATTTTCCCCCTAGGCTCCCGCCTAGCACCTAATTCGGTCGCCTAGTGCCTAACTCGGCCAATTACGCCGAGTTAACTCGTTCATTTCTGTCGAGTTAGCCGAGTTAACTCGCCCGACTCGACTTTGCTAATTTTTTTCATTTATATTTATATATTTATTTATATAATTATAAATAATATATATATATATATATATATATATATATATATATATATATATATATATATATATATATATATATATATATATATATATATATTGATGTATAATATGACATATATGCACGTGCACTATTTTTCTTTTTTTTTTTTTAGTTAGCCGCCTAGGTGACAGCCTAGTCACTTAGGCCCCGCCTAGACCGTCTAGGCGCTAGGCGCTACTCTACCGCCCGACTAGCGCCTAGCGCCTATTGCAACTATGTCCTCGACTATAGTGAAATTACCAATTTGGTCTCGAATTAACGGATTGTCTAACGGAAAAACAAATGGAGACCAAATTGGTTACAATTTTTAAAGTTGAGAGACTTAATTGGTCAAAAAAAATAGTCAAGAATCAAATTGGTAATTTTGTTATAATCAAGAGACCATTTCGGTAATTAATTCTAAAATTTGGTTTAGTTAATTTGATATTAAAAAAAAAAAAAAAAGACAATTGCTTCGATTAACAGTTTTACCAAATATGTTGTGAAACCGTAGGGTACAAAAGCATTAAATTGGATATAATTGTCGAGTAGTTTGTAGCTCAGTGACATATTGTGACTTTCTCAAAGGAAAATACTACAGGTATTTCATTCTATACTCTCAATTTTTACTCTCACACTTCAAATAGTGATGTAGACACTTTCACAGGACTCCACATGAAGAAAATAACCTATCAGAATCTGCCACATTAGGGAATAAATTTGATGGAGTAAGATTTGAGAGTACATGTACGTAGTAAAACTCTTTCTCAAATAGGAGGTCACATAGATAATTTTTAGAACCTCGAGAGAGTTCGGCCATGATTCCCTTCAAAGTAAGATGGTAAGGTGATGAAATTTTTATAGAGTGAGAACATTTAAAGTAAAATAAACTTTATAGTATTAGTAACATTTAAAGTAAAATAAACTTTATAGTATTAGTAATATTTATTTATTTATTTATTTCTGAATTGCACATACTAGTCTATATGTAATTGTATATATGCTCAGTCTATGCAACTCCCTAATGAGATGTGGGATCAGAAGACTTGATTCCAATCGACTTATTGTACTCTTTCTCTGCATTCTCTAACCTAGTTCGAAACATGGCCCATTCTGCATGGCATCTCTCATTCACCTGCAATCAAATGTGTATATGTAAGGATGAAATGAGATTTGGCGTTCCGAACGTGTGAACTTGTGCACTTATAATGATTATATTGTGTATTTTAGAGTGAACGTATTGCACTTTTAATTACTGGTTATATTTTGCATATTTAGAGTTTCTGTTGTGCACTTTTATAATGTCTTTTGAATTGCACTTGTAAATATTGTAATTCACACATTTATTGTTTGTGTTGTGCACTTTCAGAAACTTTTCTTTTGAGTTGCACTTGTAAGTATCATCATAAAATGCACTTTTCTAGTGATTGCACATTTGAATCTATGCACGAGTTCGCATATGAACCTGCCCTATAAGTGCATTTAAGAATTTACTTTCTTGAGGAAGGGGCAACGGTGAGAATTCTTTTAGAAAGTAATGATCTCATTACTTACCGCTTTCCAACTAGGTTTTCCATTTTCCGACTTTCCCTATGGTAAAAATAGTGAAATTAGGACTTAGGAAAATTCGGACATGTAAATGAGTAATACTATAAGTATTCTATTAGTAAAAATCTTATTTGACATGACATGTTGGTATTTGACTTGTTTAGAGTTGTTACCCCGTCCCCAAGAGTAGTCTTCATTTGATGAAAAACTGGTTGAGCATCAACAACTCCAATCTTCTCATGCGCAGGCGGCTACAATGGAGGATAAAAATATTTTTATTGCACCGAATAATTTTCCAGTTCTACCATTTGAGACTATAAATTACCTAACAACACATTTGGAGAGCTACCTACCGCTCATTTGGGCTTAACCCAAGCTTGAATTACTAGATTAATCTTATCTAACCGTAAGATGCAAATATATTCCAAAAAAGATCACAAGAGGAGTGAATGGCTAACCTCAACACATATTTGAAGGGCAAGATCTAGACCCCAACCATGAACCAAGTCATTCTATAATAACAATATAGGAAGATAAATTAATTAGGCTTGAATAAGTAAAACACGGATGTCAATGACCTTTTGGTCTAGTAATGCAAAGTGACTCAATTTTCAATGAGACACTATTGAATGCACAAATAATGAAAAACTAAAACAAATTTAGACCACTAAAGTTTAAAAACATACTTGAATCATATACCACACGCAACGCCATGAATTGCGAGAGAAGACAGGGGCCATGATTTCTACAAATCTAAAATCAAAATAAAGTCTACTCATTTCTACTATATTCATTGTCAAACATATACAATAATATATAAAATATCATTATCTTTGTCAATTTAAATTTTTAATTAAAGACGAAACACATTCTTCAATTTTCATATAAAAATAAATCAGAATTCATAGAAGTATTCAAACCATACCCTGCACATGGAGGCAAAAGAGGGTCATTACACCAGCCTGGTTTCTCCTCTGTTACTCTATTGACAGAAGAAACAGAACATCCTCATATGAAAAACCCAAACATTAAAAATGTGACTATGAATGTTGAGCATATAATATAAACATGTGCAATCTAACTATCAATTTAGACTTTCAGTTGAAAGGAAATATATGCTTCAATTTGGTATCAGAGCCAACTATATGCTAAAGGTTATGGGATCGACTCTTCACTCACCTGATATAAAAAAGAGACTATGGTTCATGTGTTGCTTGGAGTCTATCAAAAAATAATCGACCCGCACACGGAGCCCATCAAAAAGTAATCAGCATGCACACGTTGTGCAATCCAACTATAAGCTTAGACGATGGAGCTCATGCTTCAATTATGAATTACGCAAGATAGACTATGGTAGGGCACACGTTGTGCAATCCAACTATAAGCTTAGACGATGGAGCTCATGCTTCAATTATGAATTACGCAAGATAGACTATGGTAGGGCATCCTCAATCAAATTAGTCGGACAATTGACTTTGACTTTGGGAGCTATTTATTGGTTTTTCTTAGTTTGAGCTGATCAGTTATGATTTTCTTAGTTTGAGCTGATCAGTTATAGACAACCTAGACTGATTTACCTTAATGCGAGTTTCACCTGAACACCTTCAAATAACAACTGCGGGCTTTTTCATAAATCAAATTGTGGTATGCGTTTGATATAATTCAAATGATCTTACTTGTGAACTTCATGGCCACTTTTTCTCTTAGTCATCTCCCAATTTATCCAATACCCCTCCTTAGGCTCCAAAGCTGGCTGTGAAATTTCCAGTCCATGTTTCTTCACAAGCTTAATATACCTGAATTGGATGAACAATATACAAATGCAATAATAAGCCATCCCATCTTCAACACTGCTTCAACAATCTGATAATAATCAAACACTTACTCCTCTGCATTAAAATTCTCAACTCCCAGGTCTTCATCCCACATGAATATATATTCATATGCTGCAACAATGTCAGGATGCAGAAACCTTTTCGCAAACCACCTTACACAAATTCAGAGATCTGGTTTAGAATTTGCAGACACATACAAACGCTTTCAGCTGTTCTGTAACTTCTTACCATTTTGTCTGCTTAGGAACACTGACATGGATAGCCCGTTTAGACCACTCGAATTCGTTCCATTCGGTGGTTCGACCATCATAGTGAAACAGAAGAATGGTAAAATTCTCTGAAAACTGCAGGAGAAAGGTACACTACTGTCAGGAGACTGTAAATAACAAATCTGCAGTTTCATTGTCGGTTTAAACTTTTAGCTGAAACAAAACACGTCTCTTAATGTCACCTTTTTGACAGCAGCATCAATGTTATTCTTCTGGTTATAACCAACAGTGAATGTTACCAAATACTTTGGTCTAAAAGGCAGATCCTGCAGAGTAGTAAGTGGATAAAATGTTGAAACAACAAAGTGGATAAAATCATTTCATGAAATTGATACTTGCCTCACTGGGTAAGCCCCATAATCGCCGGGGAAAGAAGTCTGACTCAGAAACAACAAGTTTTGGAGGTAATAACTCTGCCCCTCTGGGATTTGATGGAGCCCAAATCTGGTAGAGGACAGTACTATTCAAAGTTCATTCCTTTTTACAGAAAATTTCTTCATGCTCAAGATTAGCAAGAACAGACAATTGAAGCATGTGCTCCATCTCAACTAAAAGCTTAAGCTGATAGTTGGATTGCACATTAATGGCTATATGCTCAACACAGACGAACCTTTCTAGGATCCATGGCTGCAGTTTGATTTGGTGTCTTGTCCCTAGACTCAGTGGTGGAATTCACATTCACACTTCCATTAACATTTAGCTGCAAAGTTGGAGCTGGGATGACCTATGAGAACAAGTAAATTAAATAATCTCAGCACAGATCGAATCATGGTTAACCACTGATACGATCTCACATCGACTCCTTCTTACCCGTGTTGTTGAGAGCCCAGGAAATGAAGATGCCCCAATCAGGTAACCAAACATGGTTCCAAAAACAATGGCGAGTAAAAGCCTCTTTGTTTCACTGGGCTGCTGTTTATCATGATCATCATTTGCACTGTGAAACAAATGTGGAAGATCAGAGATGAGACACTTTAGTCACATACAACAATGGTGATCATGGCAAATTAAAACCAGTTTAATTAATGTAACTTAATTACCGGCGCCTAGGATTCTTCATTATATTGTATGTTTCTCAGTAATTAGAAGAAGAAAATGTGTGAAGAGCTTTTCTGCATCATATCACTGTAACATGGTTGAAGCAGCAGCCATGATCTCCAGTTGAGAGAGTAAAATTATCACCAAAATCTTGAAGCCAAGAGCTTGTGGAGACATAGAGGTGGGAGCAGTGGCAATTTGCTTTCATTTACTCAACTAAATAGGTATAAAGAAATAAAATTATATATAATTAAGAACAATTTCATTTCAATTAGTTTAATAGTTGATTTGGTAACTGTAAAATTTTAAATTTAAGTCCTTATAAATTAAAATCATATTCTCTAAAATTTACTTAAAACACACTGTCAAAAAGTATGAACTTTCTCATAAATCAAATTTACGTCCTATATGTTATACCTAACCCATTAGACCACCATGCATTGTAATCCTAAAACCATGGACTAAATTGAGATAGAAATGAAGGTTCATAGGCATGTAGTCCTTGCAAGTTGCTATAATGAGCTAACGAAATCTTCAAATAAATTAAATGGATCATTTATTGAAGAAAATATTAGTCAAATTATTACTCCCAAATGGCCAAAACTGTCCAACCACATCATTCTGAAAATAAAAGCTACTCTAGTACTTTAGGGAACGTAATGTTGTTCAACCATGTACCATGCAAGGTGCACACGATTTCAATTCATAATTTCTATAATATAGATTTATAATTTTTATACTGTAAATTCATAATTTTTAAATCGTAGATTAATAATTTAAATACAGTAGATTCATAATTTTTATACTGCAGATTCATAATATCTGTACTGTAGATTTATAATTTCTGTACTGTAGATTCATAATTTCTAAACTGTATAGTTATCAAATTATGAACATATAGTTCTGTGATTTGTGAATACAGAGTTCAACAATTGGGAATTTGAACATCGAAAATTATGAACATAAAATTCTGTAATTGTGAATATAGAGTTCAATATATAATTATGAATACGAAGTTCAAAAATTATAAATATATAGCTTTATAATTATAAACATATAGTTCAGTAATTATGAACATAGAATGGTACACACGGTTGCACAACATAATTTAATACTCCGTATTTGATTGAATTTGTTATATTTGATTAATATGGATTTATTTATTTTTTACAACAACTTTGTTAATTCACGATAATTAATGAATAAAAAAATTGGTTATATTAGGAGGTAAAATTATGAGAGAAAATAACATTGGAAAAAATACAATGATCATTTTGACAATGAAAAACAATACACTTTTTTTTTTTAACAAAAAAACTTGTGTGAGATCATTACATGTTTATTTTTAAATAAAAATGTAATATTTTTCGCGTAACAGTCTCCCGTTTATTTATTAGTCCCAACATATTACAATCTTTATCCAATTTTACGTCTTTAGTTTAATTAATTAGAGTTTGACTTAGACAATTTAAATTTAATTTTTAATATTAATTAATTTATTGAAATTTTTAATATTTTCTCTCAATGCCTCCCCATGTTGGAAATTTTATTTTAGCTCTAAAAGGAGTAAATGGGTAATTAAGTGGATGTAGCATGATTCTTATTCTAGAATATCATAAGTTTGATTATTGTCAACACCCTCTTGGTCAATCCTTTTGTATCGGTTTATCACCCATGTATGGTTTGCGGGTTCATTTACCTAATACACACCTTCAAATACTGGTTGTGGGTTCCCCTAATTACCTAAAAAAAAAAGATTTTAGATGCATTTCCCAATGATAATGTTTGACAGTACTAATACACGCAGACTAATAACTAAATCGATCACCCTAGCTCAGCACCCGCCAAGGCTGTGGTTGAGAACCTCCGGGTAGGGGTTTGTCCTAGAATCGATCCAAAGTCCCCCTTGTCGTAATAAATGCGAGTATTTATAGATGAAGAGGCGGGGGACACGGCACGGGCTACCGGCATGGCAACCACGTGGCGTGTACGTGTCCTTATGCACATCAAACCCCCAATAATACCTAGTGGCGACACGTAGGGTTACGTGGAGCTGAGGTGCCAGGCGATTGGGCAAAGTTCGGGCAGAATAGCGGTCGGGGAGGATGTCGATTGGGAATAGGGATGTCAACGGGGCGGGGTGGGGGCGGGGGACATACCCCCCATCCCCGCCCCCGACTTTTTTCCCATTCCCCATCCCCGTCCCCATCCCCGCCGGGGAATGGAAAACTCCCCCCAACCCCATCCCCACGAGGATTATTCGGGGACGGGGAATCCCCACCCCATTAATAAGTTATAAAAAAAATTAAATATTAAATATTCAAAAACATTTAAATAAAAACGTATATATATTCATCCCCAATTTAAAATAGTATTCAATATTTTACAATTAAACATGTTATTTAAATATGCATTTCATAACCATGACAAACAATGACAAGAATGCTTCTAAAATTATATATATTGTATACAAAGTAATACATATGTGTGTGTACTCCCCATACATACATACATACATCGGGGACGGGGCGGGGCGGGGAGAGTACTCCCCATCCCCGTCCCCGTCCCCGGCGGGGAATTCAAAATTGCCCCCATCCCCATCCCCGATCACCTATTTCTATCCCCATCCCCGTCCCCGTAGGGGCAGGGAATAGGGTTCCCCGTCGGGTGCGGGTACAATTGACATCCCTAATCGGGAAGCAAAGATGACGCTCGAATAGTTCGGCATCGCTCAGGATAAAGTGAGAGTAGGTCAGCGGTCAAAGTCCAACCGAGTGTATAGCCTATCAATAATGTTGTTATTCAATCCGTTGAGGTATTAGTAAAATCATAATTATTTTTTACACCAAGTGTCCCATTTTCCTGTTTATTTTATTTCTTATTTTTAACTTTTTTTTTCTCGAATTAAAAATCATTGTATTTTATGATTACATTAGTTTTAGAATAATTCAAAACTATTTATTATCGAACTCCATATTAAGAGAGTAGTTCAAAACTTATGTTTCCTTCACAATACAAAAGAGTAATTACGTTCTCGAACTTTAAAAATGACAATTAAACCCTTCAACTTATTAAAATCAGTCAAATAAGTCCGAAAAATTTTGATGATGTGACAGAGAGTAATTACGCTATTAAACTTTAAAAAGAACAATTAAACCCTTCAACCTATTAAAATCAGTCAAATAAGTCCGGAAAATTTTTGATGATGAGGCATGCAGGCCACCGTTGACCACTGCATGCCACCGGTGATCGCCTTCATTTACAAAAAAAAAAAGGCAACGGCCAATCATCTTCTCCACAACCGGTGATCGCCTTCTCTGGAAAAAGGGACCCGCACCTTCTCCAATAGAAGAAGTCGACTAACCGGTCATCTTCTTGAGGAAGAAAACGACCAAACTAGTCGCCTTCTTTGACCGACGAAGAAGGCAACCAACCAGTCGCCATCAAGCCCGGTGCCTGTAAACTGTAATGAAATACAGAGAGGAATATGATTGGATCATTATTGTATTACTTGCATATACACTTGCATTTGTCAATCTCAAAAACTTGGGAGCCAAGACAAGATTTTATTTCAGAAATGTAAGTACTAAGTAGTACTACTGCTATGTGTATATATATCTATATATATATATATATATATGGAAATGGCAGAAGAATGAGTGGATATGATTCTGTATATGCACATTCAACCATTCCATGCCACTAACTAATGATCTGTAGAATTGGAAGCCTCAAATCCAATGGACTTATAGTAAGCTTTCTCAGCATCAGCTACCCTTCTTCTAAACATTGCCCACTCTTTTCTACATCTGTCATTCACCTGCAAAGATATACAAAAGTTCATCGCACAATTTAGTTCCATTCCACTAACCTTTCCCGCTTTTTCAAGGAGGGGAGGGGATAGCGGGGGAGAGTTCTTTTGGGTAGTAAAGTCGTTGCTTACCCCTCGCCAGTTAGGCTTCCCGTTTTCTGCTATTCCCTATAGAAAGGATGGTAAAGTTTAAACACTGTCGGGAAAATCAGAATATGTGTATACGGATTGAGTTGCACTCGAGACTCGAGAGTCATTACCTCGTTGCCAAGTGAAGGTATCTTTTTATGGACAACGGGCTGAGCATCGACAACTCCAATCTTCTCGTGAGCGGGCTGCAAAAGAGGATGGATGAATATTTTTACTGCACTGGGTGGTTGGACTTGGATGAAAGAGCTCGGGAGAGAATAACTAACCTCGACGCATCTTTGGAGGGCAAGATCGAGACCCCAACCATGGACCAAGTCGTTCTATAATGATAGGAAGAAGGGGTAGTTAAATATTAATTTGGTCCGAACATGTTACAAAAAGTTGGGTTCCGAGTGTACCTGAATCATATGCCACACGCAACGCCATGAATCTCGAGAGAAGACGGGAGCCATGATCTCTACGAACCTAAAATCGAAAGAAATTCTGGGAATTTTACTCTGTTCGCATACCAATTTACCGATATAAACATAAATCAGAATGCAGAGAACTATTCTTACGCTGCACATGGAGGCAAATGAGGGTCAGAACACCAGCCGGGCTTCTCTTCCGTTTCTCTAATGAGAGAAGCATTAGAAACATAAAATCGTTAGAGAATGCATCCAAATAATTCAACTTTCTAGTAAAAAACGGGACTATGGATTAAACCACGACTGCAAAATTCCAGCTTTCTTACTTGTGAACTTCACGATCAGGTTTTCTCCTAGTCATCTGCCAAGATACCCCGGAACTAGCTTCCAATGCTGGCTGCGAAATTTCCAATCCATGTTTCTTAACAAGCTTTATATACCTGAAAATGGATAGACAAACAAACATAAGTCAACTTTAGACACTGATTGAAAAAAAAAAAAAAATCCCGTAATCAAATACTTACTCTTCAGCATTAAAGTTCTGGACTCCTAGGTCTTCATCCCAGATAAATATATATTCATACGAGGCAACAATGTCGGGGTGCAGAAACCTCTTGGCATACCACCTAAGACAAATTCATAGAGTTCAACTTATCACGATGATCTAGAGATCTGGTTTAGTAATCACGAACTGACAAACTTTCCCCAATTGTGTATCCGCTTACCATTTTGTCTGTTTATGAGCACTCACATGAATGGCCCGCTTAGACCACTCGAATTCATCCCATTCAGTTGTTCTACCATCGTAATGAAATAGAAGAATGGTAAAATTGTCTGAAAACTGCATGAGAGAGATATGCACTGTCAGAGAGAAGATAACTAGATGGGGCGAGCTGGAACTGCAGAGAAACAGAAAACCATACTTTTTTCACAGCAGCATCGATGTTATTCCTCTGGTTATAACCAACGGTGAATGTTACCAAATACTTCGGTGTACTGGTTATGTCCTGCAGTTAAGAATTGAATAATAAGCCAAACCAATATAAAATATTGAAAATTCGATTGATGTAATACTCCGTATTATTAAGAAAAGAATATATTAAGATATAGGAAATGAATTGAAGTGTGGTAGAATACTTGCCTCACTGGGTTTACCCCATAACCTGCGGAGAAAGAAGTCTGACTCAGAGACAACAATTTGTGGAGGTAACCTTTCTGCTCCTCTTGGGTTCGATGGAACCCAAATCTGATCAAGAAAGCAAAATTAAGGGCAAAGTTCATTCCTTTTTCAGTATTTTCTTCAAATTCCCAAACATCATGCAGAGAGAACCACATAAACAAATGGTCAGGCAATTCACTTTGCAGATTTACTTTTCGATCTAAAAGACATTATTAAGTTGTCTAAAGTTGTCACTTCCAGACAGACTTAAGAAAAATGAAATTCAAGAACTGTTGTTTAATAGCTGAATCATATCACCAGGCCAAATAGAATTAGAGAAAACTCCAAGAAATTTATGCATGCTCATATTGGCAAAAAGGATGAACCTTTGTATGATCCGTGACATTATGATTTACTGTCGAGTTGCTAGTCTCACTGGAAGAATTCACACCCTTTTTGGTTATGTTAACAAGACTTTCTGCAACATTTAGCTGCAAAATTGGAACCCCAAAAAAGGAAAAAAAAAAAAAAAAAACAGGTTAACAGAACTAATAAATCATGTTAAAATTAAGAAGCAAACCACCGTAGGTGCAGAATGGGTTGAAGGCCGGGGATAACACAACCTTACCTTGAACGTAGGGGGAGAATGTGACAATCCAATCAAGAACCCAAAAATGAATCCAATAATAACTGTGAGTATAATCCTCTTTGTTTCATTCGGTTTTGCACTAAAAATAAATAAATTCGCAAAGGTTAGAACACATTAGTCACATACAGCAATGACAACCTACGGGTGACGATATGATTACAATTTACAAACCCAGCTCACAATAACATACCAACGTCCAAAATTCTTCATTTTATTCGTAGTATCTAACTCCATAATTACACGAAAAAATATCTTCAACAGCTGCTCTGTATCCCACAACAAAGCTTCAGGCAGCTGTCCCGTAACAAAGGCAAATCACCAATGACTGGAACGATACCACCAAAACAAGAGCTCGATCAGCCACATTTTTTATGAGAACCGAGAACACTTATAGCTGAAGCAACAAACTCAAAGAAATAGAAAAGAACTTAGCTATTCCTTCTACAGAAAAAAGGCAAATTAACGAATTCCAGTTCTTTTCATTACTTTCGAAAACCACAATCCACTCTCCATTTACAAGAAAACACTTTAACTATTACCCTTAAACAGAACAACCTTACTGCCACTCATCCCAGAAGTAAACTTGTAAGCAAGAAAATACAGTAAAAAAAACATCATCAAAAACCTTAGTCCTTGGACTATCAATATATACTGTACCAAAGATCAAATCCAGAAATTCAATATGATACAAAAAAAACACAGCCAAAACAACACACGTGCCTAGCCTTCCTCTATTAATACCATAACCAAAAGCAGAAAGCAAGCAATTATGTGTTCATCTTTGGCAATATAACCATTATTATAAAAATCCCAATCCAGTCAATTACTTCCTAATTTGTAACTCTCAAAACAAGGTACTTCAAGAAATTATATTATATTATAAACCCTTCCCCTACCCCCCTACCCCCACCACCCACCCAAAAGCCCGCCACCTGAACATAATACAGCACAATCTAGAGAAATCTCTATTGTCAAAATCAAGCACACAGCTTTACTGAATCAAAGTGAGAAACCCATACCAAACGTATAAAGCTCTAGATCATTCACCTAAGCACAAAGGAAGCTAAGAAGTAAGAACAGTCCATATAAATACAAACACTCAAAGATTGAGTATAAAAGAAAGTACCCAGAATGAAAGAACGTTATAAAACCAGGAAAACACGAGAAAAAAGAAGGAGTTCCGGCCTCCGGGCAAAATTTAAGGGGGAAACAAAAAATGTGGGTTCGGCAGCTTTAACCTCCTCCTATTCCTAATCAACTGTGCTTACTGGCGTGTGTGTATGGGCACTCAAACGCCTCTTTACTGTATGAAGATTGAAGGGGGAAGGGGATGAAGGAAAGCGTGAGGCATTGGGCCAAAAAGCTTGCGTTAATGGCGATGAACAGTGGAAGCCGTGGCAATTTTTAACTTTAGTAGTTGTTTTCCTTTTAAAAGTCTGCTTTTGGTGGTTTGCTTTGACCCGTCGAATCTCTTCTGCTCATTTTTATATAATTAAGGAATCATTATTAGGGTAATAATTAATAAATGGAAGGGATTAAATTAGGGATTGAATTAAAGGAATTTGGTGACGCCCAGTAAATAAATACATTCCCTGCAATTATTTAACTCTTTAACTTGCCAACTACCATGTCACAAATTATTCTGTGACATCTCGGTTGCTAAAAAAAATAAATAATAAATATTATTTCATTATTTCATCCAATTCAATATATAATAAAGTTATATGGTCTTGTGAAAATTAAATGGTGATAATTAACATTTAATTTTCACAATACCATAATAATATTGTTGTTAATTATAATAACAATAACAATAATAATAATAATTGCAATAATAATAATGATAATAATTGCAATAATATATATATATATATATATATATATATATATATATATATATTTATTTATTTATTTATTTATTTATTTATTTATTTATTTATTTATTTATTTATTATATTTATTTATATTTCAATTTCTACTGGCAAATTATTGTGTGAACGATTGTCCACATAATTGTATGGATCATGAATATCAAATATATTGTTAATATATTAAAAATACATTATTTTTATATTGAAAGTACCTTACATACATATATAATGTACCCTTAGTATATTTAAAATATATTTTTTATTGCATGCAACCTCAAAGTTCATAAGTTTGAAATTACTATATGGCATAGCTAGGCGGCCTAATATTTAAGATTGTTGATGTGCATATTGAGGACTACGGAGACAAAGATGCGTTATTCGTGGATTCATCGGATACTATCCAACAACACTCTCCAACTTAATTGACGTGAAGTAGATTTAGTAACATTAAGATTATATTCTCGAATTTTTTGTTCTCATCTTTTATTGATTACACACTTAATTCCATAGTATTTCGAAAAAAAATCAATGTTTGAACTAAGATTGTGATTTTGGTCTTTAAAGGTCAATTGTATGTTGCTATATCTAGAGTTAGAAATCTCAAAGGTCTAAAAATTGTGATCCGTGGTGACTCTAAAATTGTAATTCAATTACTATTGTAGTTTACTAAGTTCTTAAAAATTTGTAATATTAAATACTATATACTAAATTTTTAATATAGTTTAAGATTTGTAGTAATCACCCACCTTAAATATTATTTTAATTGTAAATATATTTATGTTCATAATTTTATCATAGGAATTCACACATAATAATTATTAAATAACAAAAATTTTATATATAAATAAACCTTATATAGGGTATATTTTTATAACATATTTTCCGTGCATCGCACGGGACAAATACTAGTTATAATTAAGGAGAAAAACTGTTGTCAAGCACCTTGTGCGCAAATAACATATAATAACTTTTCTATATGGGAGGTCATGAGATCAAACATAGGTAAGGTGACAGATACTACAATATCATAAAGTCAGTGACTTTTAAAAAAAGAAAGCTGCCAAATTTTCAATTCCTTTTAAAAAAGAATTTTTATTTTGCTAAAGAAATACAAGGACTGCATAACATCATCTCTCTACCACGTGCAACATGATTATTTTAATTAAGCAGTGTGGGAACTACCTCTCAAAGTGAGGGGTTCTTTGTGCACAGTGAGTAAAAATTTAATCTATGTGGTTCATGTTCAGTTGAATTATCATGATTTACATCCTCTTAAATGTTTTGTCGGGTTAAGTGTGGGGACCCTTAGGGTTGGGGTTCAACCTTTTGGAAGAATGATTATTTTAATTATATTTTGAAAAGGTTGAGAATTGGGATTTTGCGTTACGCCGAAGGTTTTAAACGTAAGGGCTGGAGGAAACAATGTTAGATGCATATAATTTTCACACTTTTTACTAATTGACAATAGAAACTTTTTGATTAAATTTGAAGGTGTACACAGATAAATTACACTCTTATATTGTAGTCTATAAATCATATGAGAAAAATAAATTGTATTATAAAATCATATATGACATACTTTATCGAAAACGTGTTGGTAAGTATTAAATTAGTAACCCATAACCAAACTTTTTAAAGCGAAAAAGCGCACCAAAGCGATGAGCTTGGGCTTTGCTTTAAAGCGAAAGCGCAAAGCGAAGCGTCGCTTTTTCACATAAAGCGACGCTTACTAAAAAAATTAATATATATTCAAAATACTCAAATACTAATGCAAAATAACATAAATACAAAGTTTAGTCATCAAAATAATGTCATTCAAGTTATTTAGTTATTCAAAAATCACATATTCAACAATCAATAATTCAATAATAAAGGCATAAATTTTAATTGAATTAAATGTAAATTGAAATTTTAGATTTTAATTATAGAAATTTCAAAACATAATTTAATACAAAAAAAATGAAAAAAAAAAAAAAAAGCACAAAACGTGTACGGTGAATGGTAAACAATCACTGCCAAGTGTCCAACCAAAGCTCCAACTCTATTCCTATTTAACATTTTAACCTCAGACCAATCGTCTTCTTCAAATCTTCAACGACGTAAGTCGTAAGAAGAGAAAGGAGGAAAAAAAAAACAGAGTGAGAAGCATGGGCGATTAACCTCGGGGTTTTGAGTTCATCTATCAGGGAGGAGGTGGTGGCGAGGCAGCAGCGAAGCAGCGATGATGATGGTCGAGGGAAATTGGCAGAAAGTAGCGACAGACGGAGAGGGTGCGCAGAGAAGAGCAGAGAACGGAGGTCTGAAGTTTTTTTCGCGACTTAGGGTTAGGTTAGAATTTTTGTTTGTTTGTTGTTTTGACCGTTAACTTGCGCTCTACATGGTAAAGCCTCGCTTTTCGCCGCTTCATCGCTTCGTCACCTCGCCGGAAAAGCGTGCTCAGGCGCACGCTTTCCCACACAGCTGCGCCTTGCTGAAGCGGAGCGACAAGGTGTCGCTCGCCTCGCTTTTGCGCTTTAAGCGCAGAAGCGAGCGCTTTTAATAAGTTTACCCATAACAAAATTATTTTATACACAATATTTTTTATTGACAGGAAATTCTGTAAATCACTACTCAATGATGTGCACGAGATAAACTCAGTCTTGTAACCCTAGCTATCAATTCAGCAAATAATCATAAAGATATTCATAATTGATCGACTCAAACCAATAATGTCAATAAGGCCGCTTTCGCTAAAAATATAACTTGGAACCTTATGGTTTGAACGAGAATGAATTTTTACACAACTTTTTTTTAAAACAAATTTTTAAATATACATTTTATTGTTTTTCATTTTTAAAATATATATGATTTGTTATTTTAATCTCTGATAATCTATTTTTATAAGTATAAATCTCCAATTACATTTTTATAGTCATTTGGTCCCTGACATTTTCAGTCCACGTCTATCAATCATTCCATACTTCCAAGACACTCCCTATCTACATCTAGATTATAGAGTCAATGTTTAAATAGTTTTCAACCCAAATTGGTTTAAAGAGTAGTGAGTAAATACCTAAAATGGTCCTTCGACTATAGCTAAATTCATAAATTGGTCTTTGATTTTTAATTTCAACCAATTAAGTCTTTAATTTTGCAATTTTGACACGATTTGGTCCTCTATCTATTTGATCATTTGTTGACCGTGATCGACGATCTCCAGAAGAACCTTTAGCTCTCGTCGGAGCATGTGGAGGCCTCCAGGATGACGTTGCACCGGTTCGGAAACACGTCGTCTTCTTCGCTCTAGTACGAACTCAACTACATTGAATCCAAAGGGAGGATGAAGAAGGGCGACCGGATTTGGTAGATTGCTTTCGGCAGTGGATTAAAATGTAACAGTGCGGTCTGAAAGTGCAATCGGAATCTTAAAAACCCGACGATGGACCATGAAATTACATATATATCCTCAAAAATCACAGTCAACAAACGGTCAAATAGACAGAGGACTAAATTGTGTTAAAATTGCAAAGTTAAGGACTTAATTGGTTAAAATTAAAAGTCGAGGACCAATTTGTAAATTTAACTATAGTCGATGGACTATTTTGAGTATTTACTCAAGAATAATTGACAAAAGTCAAAGTAAGATGTTATGGTCAAAGATTAAGAATACAATATCGTAATAAATTAAATACACAGCATTACAACACAAATTTAAGACTCATATTTACAAAAGTGGATAATTGTGAGAAAAACAACTCATCGTACGCCAAAACACGGTAATTAAAGTACAATTTTTTTAAAAAAAATTATGCTCAATAAAATATAATCGAGTTTAAATCACCACAAATTTAATTATTATCAATATATTATTAATCAAGTTCGTTCTATAGGTTTATTCAATGTTGCAAGGCTGCAAATTTCCCTTGTCAATTAAAATAGAACTTCTAAGCATTATTATCAATTAGTGATGAAAGCCAAGTTTCCTTGTTTTGTGGCTCTTGCAACCTGTCATTCAAATACAGGATGAAGATTTTGGGGTTGGACGAAGCCTCAACTCTTAGCCAACTATTCAACAAAATGGAATGGTTCCTACACGACACTAATCACGGCATTACGACTGGTAAACGCACTACAATCACGCCAATGAGACCAGAATATTTGCATGCACTTAAAACGCATATTATGAGTTAAAATTAACTGTACATGAATTGTTTTTTTTTTAAAAAAGGACTTATATACAGGACAAATGTTAAAATTAATGTTAGGTTATTGCTAAACTAAAACCCCACATATTGGACTGCAATCATATCACTTCATGCCTTCATATTGCATAACTTTGTGCAAGCAATGCAATCCGACAAACAAGCACTTATCACGAAGAACTAACCCTCAAAAGCTCGAAGATGATGTTCGATCTTCAGACAACTACTGAGGTAGGCATAGAAGAAACAGTAACAAGCTCTTCTTCTCCCTGTCTCTCTTCAAGAACGAAGTAATCGTTCTTTTCGTTAGGCCGGAACGTGTAAAAGGCCAGCATGTAAACACCACCTTCAATGGCTTGCTCCA